CAATATAATCAGGTCAGAAAAGGGCAGATGGAACAAACGGCACCAGGGCAATCAGGAAGGTCAGAAGGGGCAGACAGAACAAACAACTTTTATGGGAGACAGCTGCAGCAGGGAGGTTACGGGAGATGGCCGCAGCCCGGGAGAAAACTGAAAAACTAGCAACTTGATAAGAAACTAGACAGGCATTAATTCACAACGGCGCCAAGATTCCCAGAAGAGTGACCCCCTTGCTTCCCCCGTTTGCTTCCCCCATTTGCTTCCCCCGTTTGCTAGAGGGGTATATAACCTGTGCTTAAACTCTTAGTCGGGGCTGGCAGCCGCGTCAGCCCTGGCATGCTAGAATAATAAACCCTTTGCCTTTTGCATGAGAAGCGTCTCTTGGTTCTTTGTGACAGCGGCTTGCGTCCTGGGCTTTACATTTTGGAGGTCCCGCCGAGATATTTGTTGCAGCCGCCTCTGGGTTCCAACAGACGCTTCTTGGGGTAAGTGACGGCGCCTTTCTGAATAGCGATCGCTTAGATATTGGAAACACAAATTTAGTCAGAGCTGGCAAATCTGTTCGGTCTGGTGGCTGTCGGGGAGGGGCGTGAGCCTCCCCCGACTGCGACAGACAGACGTGTCAGGAGGTCGCAGGCCACAGCCCCGGGGGACGCCCTGGTGGAGTCTGGAGAGGACCAGGGACGCCTGGACTCTTGTCTGTTCCGTCTGTTAGATACGGATTCTGATTCTGGTTCTGTTTCTGGTTCTGTAATTCTGTTGCCAGCTAGGTCAATTGGCTCTGTAAATCCTTCTTTTTGGATCCTTCGATTTTTGTCTCAACGCGTTGTGTCTGTCCTTGTTTTTTGTTCCTTGTTACTTGTCATTGGTGTGTGTGTGTTTGAAGTCATGGGCCAGTCTGTCTCTACTCCTTTGTCTCTGACCCTGGACCGCTGGTCAGAAGTCAAGGGACGAGCTCAAAACCTTTCTCTTGTCGTCAAAAAGGGTAAATGGCAGACTTTTTGTTCATCCGAGTGGCCCGCCTTTAATGTCGGATGGCCCCCGGAGGGGTCTTTCCATCTGCCTCTCATCAGGGAAGTAAGGAGACTGGTATTTCAGCCTGGCCGACACGGACGTCCAGACCAGGAGCCTTACATCCTGGTCTGGCAGGACTTATGTGAGAACCCCCCGGCGTGGGTCAAGCCCTTCTTACCCCCTGGTTCTCTCCCTAGGTCTTCGGTCTCTGCCTCTGAGCCAGCGATCCTCCCTGTGAAGCCGGCTCTCCCCTCTCCTCCACCCTCTGTTCCTCCGGTCCTCCCGGACTCACAGCCTGATCTTATTCTCCTAGATTTCCCACCGCCTTATGCTTCGCCTTTGCAGCCTCCGGCGGCCGAGGCACCGCAGCGGCATGATCAAGTGCCTTCTCCGGCACCCGGTCCAGCCCCCCTGCCAGCGTCACCAACGGTGGCCTCCCCAGATTCCACCCTCGAGGGTCCCCTGCTGCCACCGGGCAGCGGACCAGCACAGCGGACTAGGAGCCGGCGCCAGCCGGATGAAGGACCGGTGGCCACTGCTCTGCCGTTACGCCCTTACGGGCCTATGGTGGAGGATGGGAACAGGGGGGAGATGCCGGCCCTCCAGTACTGGCCATTTTCCTCTTCTGATCTGTATAATTGGAAAAATAATAACCCTCCTTTCTCTGAAGACCCCACTCGGTTAACAGGTCTCGTGGAGTCCCTTATGTTTTCTCATCAGCCAACCTGGGATGATTGTCAACAACTTCTGGGGACCCTCTTCACTACAGAGGAAAGAGACCGGATCCTGTTAGAAGCTCGGAAGAACGTTCCAGGGCAAGACGGGCGTCCGACACAGCTACAGAATGTTATTGATGACACCTTCCCATTGGCTCGCCCCGACTGGGACCCTAATACTCCGGAAGGTAGGGAGCATCTGTCCTCCTATCGCCAGGCTCTCGTGGCGGGTCTCAGGGCAGCTTCCAGACGGCCCACCAATTTGGCCAAGGTAAGGGAGGTCGTCCAGGGTCCTGATGAATCTCCTGCAGTCTTTTTAGAGAGGTTAATGGAAGCCTATCGGAGGTTTACCCCCTTCGATCCGAAGTCGGAGGGCCAGAAGGCTTCAGTAGCCATGGCTTTCATTGGCCAATCTGCTGCAGACATAAGGCGGAAACTGCAACGCCTTGATGGGCTGCAGGACCTCACCCTTAGAGACTTAGTTAAAGAAGCAGATAAAGTTTTTCATAAGAGAGAAACGGAGGAGGAGAAAGAGGAACGTAAGGAAAGGGAGAGAGAAGAAAGAGAGGATGCCAGGGATAGAAAGAGAGATAAAGCATTAACCAAAATCCTGGCCACAGCAGTCAGTAACAGTAAAGAGGGAGACAGGAAGGGAGGCAGTGCTGGGCCACGGCCGCGATCAAAATTGGACCCGGATCAGTGTGCCTATTGCAAGGAGTACGGGCATTGGAAGAAAGACTGCCCAAAGAAACCCAGGAAGGGCCTACAGGCTAAACCGCCCACCTTGCTGGCCCTGGATGAAGACTAGGGGCGACGGGGCTCGGAACCCCTCCCCGAGCTCAGGGTAAAATTTGATGTGGAGGGGACTCCTGTTGATTTTGAGGTGGACACCGGAGCTGTTTACTCGGCATTACAAGCACCACTGGGGCCGCTGTCAACTAAGCGGTCCCTGGTAAGGGGTGCCAACGGCAGCCGATACCGAGCCTGGACCACCAAAAGAACTCTAGACTTAGGAAGAGGAAAGGTCCATCACTCCTTCCTGGTGATACCTGACTGCCCAGCTCCCCTTATGGGGAGAGATCTGCTTACCAAATTAAAAGCCCGCATCACCTTCAACCCCGAAGGCCCAGAGTAGAGTTCTTGAGCCCCCTAGTCCAGCAACCAGTAGTGACAGCTCTGACAATGTCTATGGAGGATGAATACCGCCTGTATGACTCCCCGGTAAAGGAACAGGATGTAACAAGGTGGCTAGACGAGTATCCGGATGCCTGGGCGGAGAAGGCCGGATTAGGGCTGGCGAGAAATCAACCTCCGGTAGTGGTTGCCTTAAAAGCTTCTGCAGTTCCAATTCGGGTGAGGCAGTATCCCATGAGCAAGGAGGCTCAGGAAGGAATCAGGCCGCATATTCTAAAGCTACTGCAGGGAGGCGTCCTGAAGCCCTGCCAATCAGCTTGGAACACACCACTCCTTCCCGTCAAGAAACCGGGGACCGGGGATTATCGGCCGGTGCAAGATCTACGAGAGGTTAATAATAGGGTACAGGACATACACCCCACTGTCCCTAACCCTTACAATCTTCTGAGTTCCCTTCCACCTGACAGGAGCTGGTACACTGTACTGGATTTAAAAGATGCCTTTTTCTGCCTACAACTCTGTGAAAGCAGTCAACCACTATTCGCCTTTGAATGGGCCGACCCGGAGGCTGGCCTTGCAGGGCAACTGACCTGGACCAGGCTGCCCCAAGGGTTTAAGAACTCCCCCACGATCTTCGATGAGGCCCTCCATCAGGACCTGGGCACCTTCAGAACCCAGCACCCGGAGGTAACCCTGCTCCAGTATGTAGACGACCTGCTGCTGGCCGCGCCGTCTCAGGAGGAATGTGAGTACGGGACTCGCTCCTTACTGCAGGAGCTCGCTCGGCTGGGGTATAGGGCATCAGCTAAGAAGGCCCAACTCTGCAGACAGGAAGTTACTTTCCTGGGGTATACTCTCCGGGGAGGAAAACGCTGGTTAACTGAGGCGCGGAAAAAGACTGTTGTGCAGATCCCCATACCAACTTCCAGAAAACAACTCCGAGAGTTCTTGGGGACAGCTGGGTTCTGTAGACTGTGGATTCCGGGATTTGCTTCGCTAGCTGCCCCGCTGTACCCACTCCTGAAGGGGGATGCGGAATTTATTTGGGGGACGGAACAGCAGCAAGCCTTTGATGATATAAAAAGAGCCCTGCTATCAGCCCCGGCATTGGCGCTTCCTGATGTCGAAAAGCCCTTCACCCTTTACATGGAGGAGCGAGGGGGAGTGGCTCGAGGGGTTTTAACTCAGACCTTGGGGCCCTGGAAAAGACCTGTAGCCTATCTATCCAAACGTTTGGACTCAGTAGCTGGGGGCTGGCCCCGCTGTCTAAAAGCTATAGCTGCCGCCGCTTTACTAGCCAAAGATGCGGATAAACTGACTCTGGGACAAAAACTAACTATTGTGGCTCCTCATATGCTGGAAAGTATCATTAGGCAGCCCCCAGACCGGTGGCTCTCGAATGCTCGCATCACACACTATCAGAGCATTCTGTTAGACAAGGACCGAGTGACCTTCGGACCTCCAGTTACTTTAAACCCTGCCACTCTACTTCCGGATGAGGCTGCAGACCCGGTCCTACACTCCTGCCAGGATATCCTGGCAGAAGAAGCAGGAATCCGTCGTGATCTGAAGGACTTTCCACTGCCTGATTCAGAGGTGACCTGGTTCACGGACGGCAGCAGCTTCCTGCAGGATGGTAAGAGATGCGCAGGGGCGGCGGTAGTTAGCAAGGACAAGGTTGTATGGTCTGCGGGGCTACCAGAAGGGACCTCCGCCCAGAAAGCGGAAATAATTGCCCTCACAAAAGCCTTAGAACTGGCTAAGGGGAGGAAGGCTACCATTTATACGGACAGCCGTTATGCCTTTGCCACGGCTCATGTACATGGGGCCATATACCAGCAAAGGGGGCTGTTAACCTCAGCTGGAAAGGACATCAAAAACAAGGCCGAAATCCTTAGACTACTAGCAGCTGTCCTACTGCCTACCAAATTAGCCATTGTTTATTGCCCCGGCCATCAAAAGGGGTCGGACCCTGTAGCCACAGGAAACCGGCGGGCAGACAAAGAAGCAAAGGCAGCAGCTCTTAAAGGGGCAGAGGTCCCAGCACTAGTGAACAAGGCTCCTAAGGAAGACACGACACCCGAGGCTACAGGGAATAAGAAACAACAGGCGGCCTCCTACTTGCAGCATGTACATCAGCTCACTCATTTGGGGGCCAGGAAGATGCAAGAGCTGCTGAAAGAGCAACCTTTTTCTCTGACTGCTATGGAAAACAAAAGGTTGACAGAACAAGTAGCTAAGAATTGTCGGGCCTGCCAGGTTGTAAATGCACATCCATCCCAAACATCAGAGGGAAAGAGGCTCAGAGGAAACAGGCCTGGCCAATTCTGGGAAGTGGACTTTACTGAAATCAAACCAGCTAAGTATGGGTTAAGATTTCTCTTAGTTTTTGTAGATACTTTCTCAGGATGGGTAGAGGCCTACCCCACCCGAAGGGAAACAGCGCAAGTGGTGGTAAAGAAAATTATGGAAAGAACTCTTTCCTCGATTCGGACTGCCCCAGGTAATTGGGTCAGATAATGGACCTGCTTTCGTGGCCCAGGTAAAGTCAGGGAGTGGCCAAGGTGTTGGGGATTAATTGGAAATTACATTGTGCCTATCGTCCCCAAAGTTCAGGGCAGGTAGAAAGGGATGAATAGAACCATTAAAGGAGACCTTAACTAAATTGACCTTAGAGACTGGCGTTCAGGATTGGACCTTGCTCCTACCTTATGCCCCGTTCCGTGCCCGGAACACTCCCTCACCCTCTATGTATAATCTCACCCCTTTTGAAATTTTGTATGGAACCCCCACTCCGGTCTCGAAAGTATCACCCACCATAGACAAAGACTCATTACCTTATACTCCTTTACTTGCCAGGTTAAAGGCTCTAGAGGGGATCCAGCAATTTGTCTGGAAACCATTGGCCTCTGCTTATCAGCCAGGAGACCTTAAAGTACCCCACTCCTTTCACGTTGGAGACTCAGTGTTCGTGAGGAGGCACCAGACCCACAGCTTGGAGCCCCGGTGGAAAGGACCCTACATAGTGCTGCTGACCACCCCGACCGCAGTAAAAGTAGATGGCATCACTTCTTGGATCCATGCCTCTCATCTCAAGCCTGCACCGCCACCGGGACCGGAATGGACAATGGAAAAGACTGACAACCCCCTTAAGCTTCGTTTTCGCCGTGTGGATAAACACCTGTCTATCCAATCTAATAGCGAGTAATCCCCATGCCCCTGTAACCTTAACCTGGGAAGTCCTCAACCCAACAGGGCAAGTAGTCTGGTCAACCAAAGGTGTCCATACTCCGGGTAGCTGGTGGCCTACCTTATCTCCAGACATATGCCAGCTAGCCCTTGGCCTAGACACATGGGATATACCGGAGATTGAGGACCCCAACAAAATTCCATCAGCAACCGGGGGGCGTCACTTACTCTACTATGGATGGTTCCCTGACGATCACGCACCGGGATGTCTAAATAGTGGCAAGCGTACCTCCCTGGGCCGCCTCACCTTTTATGTTTGTCCAAAAGATGATCGTAGTCGAAGTAAGATGCGGAGCTGTGGTGGGCCTGAATCCCTATATTGCGCAGCATGGGGGTGTGAAACCACGGGGTCAGCTTATTGGACCACCCGATCCAGTTCAGACTGGATAACTGTCCACTGGAGCAACAAAAGGGGGGAATGTGAAACAGAAGCTTTGTGTAATGGATTAAATATCTCCTTAACAGAACGAGGCAGAGGGGCGGACAAGCTCTCCCACTGGTATAAGGGAAGGACATGGGGGCTTAGGTTTTATGCCTCCGGATATGACTTTGGTCTCTGGTTTACTATCAAACTACGACAAGAGACCACACCAGTCCCAGTGGGGCCCAATCCAGCTGTCCGTCCGGTCTCCCCACTCCGGCCCCACTACTTGGCGGGGCCAGTAACAGAATCTCCCCAGGTTACCAACCCTGTTCGGACTCCGAGTAGTGGGGCTCCTACCCTGAGAAGCCCAAGTGGTAGGCTCCCCCTATTTAACCTTGTAAGTGGGGCCTACACTGCTCTTAATGCAACCCAAAGTGATTTGACTCGATCCTGCTGGCTCTGCCTCTCGGCAACACCCCCTTATTACGAGGGGACTGCAGTAAACGGAACTTATACCCTGACCACAAGCTCTGCCTGCAATTGGGGAGGAGATCACAAGCTAACCCTCCCTGAGGTTTCTGGCAAAGGACTCTGCATAGGTACCCCCCCACTGGGCCACCAGCAACTCTGTGCCAGAACTGTCTTTATAAACTTCACAGCTGGGTATCTGGCTCCAGAGGCAGGAACTTGGTGGGCCTGCAGTACTGGTCTGACCCCTTGTATTTCCACTGCTGTATTCAATGGTTCTCATCATTTCTGTGTTATGGTCCGTTTGTTTCCTCGGGTACTATATCATGATGCAAGTTCGTTCGAGGAGATGGTGGGGGAGCGTGTCACCCGCTTCAAGAGGGAACCAGTGTCTCTCACTATAGCAGTCCTCCTAGGAGTTGGAACAGCAGTAGGGATAGGGACTGGAACTACTGCCCTTATCCAGGGGTCGAGCCATATGCATCAGCTCCAGGCTGCTATAGATCAGGATTTAAAGGAATTAGAAACCTCTATAACTGCCCTTAAGGACTCCCTCACATCGCTCTCAGAGGTAGTCCTGCAAAACAGACGTGGTCTCGACCTCCTGTTTATGCAGGAAGGAGGGCTCTGCGCAGCCCTCAGGGAAGAGTGTTGTTTTTATGCCGATCATACAGGGGTAGTAGAGGAGTCCATGACCAAACTTCGGCAGCGGCTGGCCGAGCGACAAAAGGAAAGGGAGGCGCAGAAAAGTTGGTTTGAATCTTGGTTTACACAGTCGCCATGGTTAACAACCCTGTTGTCAGCAATCGCAGGACCGCTCATAATCCTGCTGTTAATCCTCTCTATAGGACCCTGTATTATAAATAAAATTCTGGAATTCATACAACAGAGGGTAGGGGACATTAAACTCCTTATTATCAGGCAACAATACTCAGCCTCAGTTGGGCCAGAAGGTCTCTAAGATTAGAAACCGTCCACAGAAAAAGGGGGGAAATGAGAGGTGCCAATATAATCAGGTCAGAAAAGGGCAGATGGAACAAACGGCACCAGGGCAATCAGGAAGGTCAGAAGGGGCAGACAGAACAAACAACTTTTATGGGAGACAGCTGCAGCAGGGAGGTTACGGGAGATGGCCGCAGCCCGGGAGAAAACTGAAAAACTAGCAACTTGATAAGAAACTAGACAGGCATTAATTCACAACGGCGCCAAGATTCCCAGAAGAGTGACCCCCTTGCTTCCCCCGTTTGCTTCCCCCATTTGCTTCCCCCGTTTGCTAGAGGGGTATATAACCTGTGCTTAAACTCTTAGTCGGGGCTGGCAGCCGCGTCAGCCCTGGCATGCTAGAATAATAAACCCTTTGCCTTTTGCATGAGAAGCGTCTCTTGGTTCTTTGTGACAGCGGCTTGCGTCCTGGGCTTTACACCTCTACACCAGCCTTGGGCAAACTACGGGCCGCGGGCTGGATTCGGCCCGTTTGAAATGAATAAAACTAAAAAAAAAAAAAAAAAAAAAAAAAAAAAGACCGTACCCTTTAATGTAATGATGTTTACTTTGAATTTATATTAGTTCACACAAACACTCCATCCATGCTTTTGTTCCGGCCCTCTCCGGTCCAGTTTAAGAACCCATTGTGGCCCTCAAGTCAAAAAGTTTGCCCACCCCTGCTCTACACTTTCAAATTGTGACTTTATTCCTCCAGAGGGGAGCCTGCTGGAACATGGTGCCTGCATGGAAACTCACAAATTACCACACTCGTCTGGCCTTGATTGACAGCCAGTTCTACCCCGGCTGCCGCTTCAGCTCCTTGTAGTTCCCAGTTACCTTCCACTCCCCCAGGCCTCCTCAGTTCCCTACAGCCAGAGGCAGAAAATGAACCTGGAAAATAAGTGGCCGACAGATTGTGAACACCTTGGATGCCATGAGCAGAATTTGTAGGCAGAAGAGATTCACTAGATGTTTTTAATCAGGAGGAAAATAATGAATTGCAATGTAGAGGGTAGATGGGAGGAAGAAAGTCCAGAGCCATGAAGATTAGGAATAAAGAAAGTTGAGGAATATTCACTCTGAGGATCACTATTTTCTCTTCAAAACTGGTCATCTGCCAATAATGCAGGGCACAGGAGAAGAGCCAGGTTAAAAGCCTGCTCTTTGGAATCAGAGGATACTCTTGAGTATTTGTCTGCCACTGTTTGACTGTGTAACTTTGGACTAGCTTTTTAATTTCATTAAATTTCAAATACCCTATCCATAAAATTGGATACCATTATTACTAAATTACTAAATTACAATTGTTGTGAGAATTAAATGAAAAGATTATAAGAAATATACTTGCAACAATGCCTGGAATGTAGGTACAATACAAACATTAACGATTGTTATTATAATTATTATTATTCCAGTACTAAAATCCAGTTTTCCAATCTTATATGGCAAAATTTCTGGATACCCCACTGACAGAAAATTAGCTAGCTAAACCTGTCAATGTGCTTCCTTGGAGTTAGAACAGTTTTCAAACTACAGCCCACTGGCCAAATCTGCTCCTCCCCTCCCTGCAAGCAAAATCATGCCACACCCATTCATTTGCATATGGCCTGTGGCTGCCTTTGCACTATTAGGGCAGAGCTGAGAAGTTGTAACTGAGACCTGAGGCATTTATCCACCAACTCTCATCCTTCAGAAGCTGGTTGAGCCTCTAGAGCAGCAGTTCTCAACCTGTGGGTCACGACCCCTTAGGGGGTCGAACGACCCTTTCACAGGGGTCGCCTAAGACCATCGGAAAATACATATACAATTACATATTGTTTTTGTGATTAATCACTATGCTTTAATTATGTTCAATTTGTAACAATGAAATTGGGGTCACCACAACATGAGGAACTGTATTAAAGGGCCGTGGCATCAGGAAGGTTGAGAACAACTGCTCTAGAGAATTTGTACCCTTTCCCTTCCCAACACTTCCAGCCAATGGAGATGAATGAGATCTATTGGCTTTAGAGAAAGCCTCAAGGTGGAAAAGTAAACGTACCCCCAGCACTTGGGGTGAAATGTTGGAAGTAAACACAAAAATATTCTATTATAGCTGTAAGTGGAATAAGGTGGCGTGGTTTATATCACCAAGTCCTGTTCTACTTTCTAAGAACCCTTATCCCCATTAATCACTAGGTACCGCCATCCATACAAAAAGAATAAGAAATGCCAAACCAATTTCACTTCCTTCTTTCAGAATCTCAGTATAGATAATATGAAGAGAGCTAGATAGGTAAGGGGTAAATAGATCATTGCGAGCTAACTGCTACATTCAAAGAATGTTGACCAATCGTACAAATTTCATTACATATGTATTCCTTTCCTATATATTACACGGAAATGGTGTCTGGAGTTGTAGCGTGTAGCAACCTTACCTAGCATAGAGCAGCTACTCACCAAATGCTTTGGAAAGAGACAGGTGAAATATCAGGAGTTGTTTAATCTAAAGTATTAGAAAAACTTAGATCAGTCCTTTGCACATGGGGGTTGTTTTGCACCTCAGGACACAATTGGCAATGTCGAGGCATCTCTGGTTGTCACAACTGGGGAAGGGACCGCTATTACAATCTAGTGGGTAGATTGTAATAGCATCCTACAATGTCAAGGACAACTCCCCTCCCCCCAACAAAGAATTATCCAGCCTCAAATATCAGTAGTGGCAAAACTAAGAAACGCTGACACAGATATAAAAGTATATGC